GGTGATGGTGTGTCACCCGATGTTGCTGCTGCTGCGGCGGAGAATCCCGGCGCGGGGGAAAAGTTGGGAGGGGTAGAAGCAGCAGCAGGAGTTGGACCAGCAGCAGGAGTTGGACCAGCAGCAGGAGTTAATCCAGCAGCAGGAGTAGAACCAGCAGCAGGAGCAGCAACAGGAGCGGCGGGGGAAGGAGCGGCGGCAACAGCAGCAGCAGCAGCAGCAGCAGCAGCAGATGCGGCGGAGGCGGGAGCGGCAGCGGCAGCAGCAGGAGATGCGGCGGTGGTGCCTGCAAACGCGAGCGGGGAGACGGTGTTTCCTCCGGCGCCGGCGGCAGCGGCAGCACCGGCGCCGGCGACAGGCGCGGGGGGGCTGGGGGCCGACGGGGCGGCGGGGCCCGAGGTCAAACTGGCGGCCGTAGCATCGGCGGCGGGGGCTCCGTCTGTTGCCGGGGGCGGGAGCGGCGCTGCTGGTGCAGTAGTGGCGACGGCGGCGGCAGCGGCGGCAGCGGCAGCGGCGGCGGCGGTGGTTCAAAAGGTAAGGGGCTGGGCCATCTACCATCTACACCTTTTTTAGCCGGCTGGCCGATCGATGGGAGAGATTGGTGTGTCTCCGGAATTTTGGTTCTTGCGGCCCCGTTGTGCGGAAGTCTGTGCTGTAGGTGAAGGTGGATGGATAGCGGTGGTGGTGACATGCTGCAGCAGCATCTCCCTCTTGGTGTTGGTGCTGGTGCTGGTGCTGGTGCTTGGTTTCCTTTCGTTTCCTTTTGGTTTCCTTTCGTTTCTTCGGTGCTTCGGCACTGGTAAATGTTTGGTGAATTTTGTCTTGACACGAGCGGAGTCCCTCCGTTCTACCGTACAGCCATGTGCTCACGCCGTGTTGGTCGCCTCTGTGATGTAGAGGAATCGTCTTGTCTCTTGTCACAGCTTTTTTCTGTCCCTCAGAAACTGACGTTAATTCAATGGTCGGCCGGTGACATCGCGAGCGCCGCCGGATAGAGACATTCTGTACCTCAAGAACCCATCGCGATTTTTGGCTCGAGCTTTTGGTGGAAGGGCTAGGGAGGAATTTGTTTCGGTTCTGTTGCAAGATGATGAAAGAAAAAGTCATGGTACTGCGGTACACACAGTACAAGTATCCAGCCGGTTTCCCTCCACTCACTGTATCTATCACGTCCCCCTCAACTGCTATGGCAATATGCATGCAATTGTATCTCCGATGGGTAGTATTGGAGTCTTTCTGTGTTGTCGAAGTACCTTTACCTTTCCTAAAAGCAAGCACGCGCGTGCTCTCTCTCTCTCTCTCTCTCTCTCTCTCTCTCTCTCTCTCGACACGTGGCCGTCCCTCGCTGTTTATGTGACCACGGTCAGGAGACTGACACCATGACGATCCTGAACCAAGTGTGGAAGCCCAAGAACGTACAAGTCGGCAGCAAGTTCCGCGCCTCGCTTGTGCGAGTGAGTTTGGTGTTTCTCAGTCCGTCATTTTGTGATGCCATTTTTTTATTTTTTTTTTCGTCCCATCTCTGGCGCCGCCTGCTTTCTCCTCTTCGGTGCACACTACACGTTTTGCCGCGTTAGCGCACTTACAATTCTCAGCTAGCTAGACGCACCGTCCGGGGTCACACAGGAGGGGGTACCCACGCCGGGTTTGTGTGTGGTGCGAAACACGTGCTACGTCGAATTGGCGCTCACGTTGTGCTACGTCGAATTGGCGCTCACGTTGTTCCCACGTGTTGCTTCTTTCTGTTCTCTGCATTGTGTTTGTTGTACGCCGTGTGTTTACTGCATGACTCACGATTTTCTTGTTTCTTTTCGCAGATCACTTCGAAGCTGAGCACCCTGGACGAGATAGAGGACCTCCGGCAGATGTTGAGCTCACACGACGTGAGTGCTCTGCTGCTGCTGCTGCTGCTGCTGCTGCTGTTTCATTCTTCTAGTGGTTGTGGTTGTTTTTGTTGTCGTTGGTGTCTCGACTGATATGATCCGTTTGTTTTTCGGTAAGATCGCCTGGCAAATACGTTACGTTGAGTTGACGCGCGAGTCCCAGTGTCGGAAGACCTGGGGGGCGCATGGCTGGGAAACCTCGGGGTTCAACCGCCGTACCCCCGTGTTGGTCTTGGTCTCTGTATATATATGTTGCATGATTTTTGGAAATATCTAGGGCTCTCGAGACCGCAGCGCAGAAACGTCGGGTGGACGCGAAGGGGGGGAGAGAGGGGATCGGTAAGAGTCCAAACGTCTCATTCCCGATGTCATGTGCTGCATCCAGGACACCGAAGGAAACCACGCAGCAGTGTTCACTTTACAGGTGGTTTTTTGTGTGCCTCTGTCTTGACCTTTTCCACCCTTTCCCCCTTCCCTTCTCGAACGAAACGGGCACGTGTGGGGTGTTGCTTTGCTGTACAGCCTCCATTCGGGAGGCATCTGAATCAGGTCCCCGCCGGATGGGAACCCGCTCACGACAAGTGGCTGGCCCACGCCGCCCTTCAGCAGGGGTGGTTCACTTCCATGCAGAAGAAAAAGGCCATGAAGATCATCGAGGTACAGTACAGTACAGCAGGACGGATATGGTACGCATGTGTGTACGGTCTCTGCGTGTGAGCTATGGGAGACAGATCGAACGCCCCTCGTTGCTCGTGTGTTTCATTTTTTTGTGTTGTTTTTTGTGTAGTTTTTGGTTTGTCGGGAAGGTATGCCGGGTATGCGTGGGTCTGCACAAAAAGTAAGTATCATCGGGATTGAAGTGTGGACCAGGCGCACATACAGCTGAACCCGCTTGGCAGTCACGCGAGCATCACTGCGGCCGTCACAACAGGAAACTTTCCCTGTACCGCTCTGCATACTTGTGTAATTTTATTTCGAAAAATTGAGGGAAAAAATTGACACACCCACCAACCCACCTGTTTCTTCCCGGAACATACCGTAAAACACACCCATTACCACCAACGCGTGATACATTGCAAAGTTTTTCGGACACGGGAGTAATGTTGTCTTGAAATCAACAACCGTTTCGATCTCTCTATCCAGCACCTCAGTCTGTCCGTACCAATCTAACGTGTTATCGGCTACATATTGGCAGGACGCCAGGGGGCTGTGGCCCGGTCTGATCAGCATGCCAGACCACGTCATCCTCGGGAGGCGTCTGAAGCAGCTCGTCGCCAAGTTCAGGACCGAGGCCTCGAGGCACGCCGCGGCCGCGAAGAAGGTAGAGAGGGAGAGGGCCGACGCGGCCTTCAAGCAGAAGAAGTTCCTGGCCGACATGGAGAGGCAGAAGTGAGTTGGAGGTGTAGCATGGTAGCAGTTCCTGGCTGACATGTAGAAGCTGACGTGAGTAGGAGGTGTAGCATGGTAGCAGTTCCTGGCTGACATGTAGAAGCTGACGTGAGTGGGAGGTGAAGTTATGTTGCCGGATCATTTTTTTGTTTGCACCGTCAATGTATTGGAATCTATCTAGGTCCTCACCCAATCACGGCGGTGTTTGTTTGCACAGATTCACTGTTTACGGGCTGTTCCTGCTTATTAGATGGTAACATGGTTCACACCAGCCCAGAATACGTTTTTTTTTGTTGTCTCCACCTATTCCCCTTTTGTTGAAATCAACTCCGAATCCGTTTTCCGTTTATTTTTTTTTTATACTGTCCTCCCCGACGTTTTCAGGCTCAAGAGGGAGCAGGAGGAGAGTATCCGGCGAGAGTGGCAGGCGCGCGAGGCGAAGCGAGCCCAAGAGAAGGCGGCCAAGCAGAAGGAGGCCAGCATGGCGGCCAAGCACGCCAGGGACGTCCACCGGACGGCGGCGGCGAGGGCCCGCGCGGAGCAACTCGCGGACGAGCGGGACCGGGCCGCGGCGGCGAGGGCGAGGCTCGCCGCTGCCGCTCGGGAGAGAAACCCGGCCGCTTCGCTGGCGGAGATCCTGCGCGCGCCGACGCAGAAGCAGCCGGAGCAGCCGCCTGTGAGGCCGTACCTGCCGCCGGGGCTCGACGCGAGCTCGCCCAACGTGATGACGGTCCACGACGCGCGCGGGAACATCGCCGGATACCAGGTCTGGCCCTCCATGGCGGAGAGGCAGCTGGCGGCGGCCGCGGCGGCGATGGCGGGTAGCGCGTCCAACAAGGACGGCCGGGTGTTGTCGTCGGGTAGCGGAGGGGGTGGTGGTGGTGGTGGTGATGGTGGTGGTGGTGGTAGTGGTGGCGGCGGCGACGGTAGGGAAGGGGTGACGCAGAAGGTGCCGTTTGTGGGCGCCGGAGGTGCGGGCGGGGTGGGGAGGGCGATGATTGGACCGTCGGCGGCGTCGGCGGCGTCGAGAAGTAACGGGAGCAGCAGGGCGGCGGCGATAGCCATGTCGGCGCCGCCGGGGGGGCTGTCGATTGCGGCGTGTGCGGCGATGAGCGATGACGGCATAATGCTGAGACACGTAAGTTGCGAGAGAAGTATGGATTGTAGTTTTGGGGGGATGGATGAGGACGCTCGCGTCGCTGCTGCTGCTGCTGCTGCTGCTGCTGCTGCTGCTGTTAAGGTTCGGGGCTGTAGCGGTTTCTTCAACATTCGTTTCCGTTGTTGTTGTTGTTGTTGTTGTTGTTTTTGGTTGTCGATGTCTCAGCCTCAACTGTGTTGTTTATTTCCACCCTGGCCGCCATCGGTAGGACACCGGTATTGGCAGAGTCCCAACCCGATTGCAAACGCCTGCATCGGTCGTTACTGTGTGTTATCATTCGCGAAATAACCCCTCTTCCCTTCTTGCCGCCCCTACGATCGTTCGGCGACACAATTTTGTGATCCGTCTCGGGAAAAAAAAAAAAAAACGAAGGCCGTGCACAACCTCGGCGTGCCAGTCTCCATGCTCCTGAGCCACAACCCGGCCGCAGGGGGGGGCTCGGCGTCCGCTTACTCGCCGCTCCGGGCGGTGTTGGACATGTCGGTGTGTTTTTGTTTTTTGTTTTGTTGGTTTATTATGGCGCGACGTCCCGGCAGTAGAGTGGGTCGAATTGGCAAAATGCCGCTTCTGGTATAACGCGTAGAGCACCCACCGCCACTTGAGCACCCCTTGTTGTTGTTGTTGTTGTTGTTATTGTTGTTGTGGGAAACTCTCGCAGCTTGTTTCCTACAGTATTGTAACTGAAACCCAACGAACTATCCATAGGTTCTAGTGTAGCGAAAAGTATTTACCCCTTGTTCTTACCCTCCGTTATTAGCTTCTATGTCGAAGGTGGTGGCGAGGTCCGAACTGTGTGTTTGTGTTGTGTGTGTGTG